TAACTATTTCCTTAAACTTTTGAAATAATTTACCATAAAATGTTAGTGTCAAAGAAAATTTATGGAAAATTATAAACAACCACAGAGTTCTTTACAATAAAATGTCAGATAAAAATAATTTATTTTGCAAGCTGAAAATTTATCAAAAAGTATAAATGGATTATAAATGTAGTTTGGCAATCTGGGGGATTTAAGGGCATTTTAAAAGTTAAGTCTAGTTAGATTACTACAGAAATGACATATTTGATGAAATCCAACCTGTGTAGCATCAATGATCATTTCTTGCTGCTAAAACATAGAAATCATTATCTGAAAAATCTACGAGTGCTATGAAGAGTCTGATGTCTTTATAAGGATTCTTTTATAAGTTGGGCTAATCTCTGGAAAGCCTAAAACAGAAAACAGATAAGAATTAATGAAATGAGGATGTTATTTAGGAAAAGTCTGCATAACTTAAAAAATTCAAACAAAAAATATCCATCTAAGATGAGGGTGAGCTAAGGCAATGAAAAATCAAGTCTAACCTCAGTCTTATCTTGGTGGGACCATCGATGTCATAATATATGTGGCTGTAAGCATATCAGAGTCCCAGAATTTTTGTTGTTGTTCTTATAGCCCTAAAGGTCATTATTCTATGTTCTCCACACCACATATTTTATTTTTCCATATAATCTCTCACCTGCATATACATGCTGTATACTTTCAATTGCCCAATGCTAATCTTATATAAAAGCATAGACAGCTTGTTTAATGACATGAGAAAACAAGTAAATAAAGAACACAGAAAAAACCAATCCATCGGCAAGGATAAGTATAAACTCTTCTTAAGGTGAATGGCACCGTTCAATTAATGGCTCTTTTTTTAAAATTCTCAGGTACATAGTGTTTAGGAACTTGTTTCTTTGCTTCTTGTTATTTGGATAAACTTTGTGATTAACTTGAGAATATTATTGTATTTGACCCTAGCTGATATACATATATATATATATATATATATATATATATATATATATATATATATATATATATATATATATNAAAAAAAAAAAAAAAAAGGATGGGAGACAATATAATGTAGTTAGTGGCTTTAGAATGAGGTTGACCGGTTTCAAATCTTAGCTTTACTACTAATACTCTGTGTGTCCTTGGGCAAATTATTAGGTTGTCGGAATAGTCATGACACATTTTTTCAAAGAAAAACAGAAAAAAATATGTCACGACTTTTCTGACAGCCCAATGCTTAACCTCATTATATCTAAGTCACCTAGGCTATAAAACAAGATAAAAATGTTACCTATGTCACAGGATTATTATGAGTATCAAGTGCATAAAATTCATCTTACAGTGTCTGATATATAAGTATCTAATAAATGTCTGCTTGATTTTCATTCTTATTATCAGCAATATTAATAGCGATAAAAGGGGCAACTCAGAATATTTGGAGAAATCCTACTTAAGAAGGATTTATCTCAAGGGTTTCTTATAGTTTAAGGGGACTAAATTCGTTATTTGAAAAGAATTATTAAGTGCTTACCGAATACAAACTTTAGATTAAGTTTGCTATGACAAATAACAGTTATTATTGATGAGCAAGTACATGTTTGGGTATACTCATTGGGTATTAGAAGTCAACAAATAATGATAGAACAGTGTGAAAAGTATAACTGTTTTGAGCATAGTACACATATAAAACACAGAGATGAGAGTGATTAATTTTAAAGGAGATACTTTGTTCCTCCTTCAACACATTTATCACAGAATCTACCCATGATCGCAGAGAGACTTAAGTTTTAGACAGCCAGGTTCATTGGTGAGAATCTGGGCTGAGTCTGTAGTAAAGCGAGGTGAATAATTTCTCACCTACCCAGTTTTTAGACCTGCAATATGGACATATGTGGTGTGATCAAAAGATGCGGGAGACCCTGCACATCCAGGGGTTCCTTCAGGTGGAGGCGGAGTCAGTGAGGAAGGAAGAACGCGCGGAGACACAGGAGCGATTTCAAGAATTAATGTCTCACTTTATTTTTACAGCATGTCCTTTTTATACTGGGCAAGTAAATATTTTACATCATTGAGCTGTTTTTCCCAAAGTTGTTTTTCCAAGTTTAAACCTTTACCCATTAGGAAATTGTTTTCTACATAGTTTCAATGTTCCTTCCTTCCCAGGGTCTATTTTCCTTAGAAGTTTGTTTTACTCAGAATTTTACTTCCTCACGATGTTTCTATTACAGGGTACAGCAGGATCTGTTCTTCACTAATAACTAACTTATCCTAACTATGTTTCAATTTCTTCCCATAATGGCCAGAGCTGAGTTCCTACCTTGGCTCTTAAAGGATATATACTACTTAGCAATGTTTCAAACACTACTGGCTAAACAGGATCTTAAGAATTATAAGGTGCATAACTTGTCTATCACTAAGAATCTATCGCTAAGAAACTAACAGTAAAACAGAATTACCGTAATATGTCCAAAACTCACTTATTTGCTTAAAGTAAATAAAACAATCAATATACCAAGGTGTGTCAGATCTTTATCCTACTGGGGGCATCCAAAGGGGAATTTAAATTTTCCAAAACATAAAGCAGTATCTATTTCTCAGCCAGAGCTTCAGGATTTGTCACAATAGCAGAGTGATAGGCCATGTCAGACACTGAGGTGCAGCCGGCTCCCAACAAAAAGATACAATGAATATTTAAATAAAAAATATTTATTACAGGAAAAGACGCATTGCCACTAATCCCCCTCAAAATACTCCCACTTGCATTGAACACACTTAACCCATCATTCTTGCTACTTTCTGAAGCAGTTCCAAGATCCCTTTTTATGAGTGGACCTCATGAAAGACGATAGGGCATTTAGTTGCCCCATCGTGGCTGCCTGGATGCCCTGAATTGATTCAAAATGGTTACCCTTTACGGTCATTTTGATTTTGGGGAAGAGTCAGAAGTCACATGATGCCAGATCCTGCGAATAAGGCGGATGAGGTCACACCGTAATGTTTTTATTTGATATTAACTGCTGAACCAGAAGCCATGTTTGACATGGACTGTTATCATGATGGAGGGTGATTTACAGCACACTTTAAAACGCGCTTTGTCTCAACTGTAGCTCACACCTGACCAACTGCGCGGAACAAGTTGAAACTTGTCACACACTGTTACTAAGGTTCGAGCTGCTTCCTGTGTTGAAGATCCCTGCTTTTCCACTGAAGGGCAGTCGGCAGCAGCAAGCACCCTATTTTCTAATCACCAAGTGCATTTAGACAAGCTAGAAAAGTTTTTGGACTGTTGACCTTTTTTTCTTGGCAACAAGAAGTATGCAGGTGGCAGCTGACACAAGATTCAAAGTAGGCATCAAGGTATTGTTCTTTTGGAAAGTCCCCAGGGTGAGGATTGATTTGAAAAATATTTTTTGGGGGATTTCTTATATCCAGTGACTTAGAAGAAACTGGTAAGGACTGAGAAGAAAAGCACACAGTGCTGTGGAAATATGTAATGGCATAGTGATATAGTCATGGGGATGAAGGGAGATAGTCCTCTGAAGAAGTGATGCTTCCACTAAGATCTAAAAGTTGAATAGAAGTAGGCAAAGATAGAGTGGATGAGGGGTGAGAGCACTCTTAGCAGCAGAAACAGAATGTGCAAAGGTTTCCTGGGTGAGTGCGACATGATGTATTCAAGGAGGTGACAGGAAGCTAGAAATTGAAGAGTTGAGTGGTAAGAGTTGAAGCTAAAGGAACAGCCAGAGATTAAATCCTATTGGGCTATAGTCAAAAGTTTAGCTCTTATCCCAAGAGTAAGGGAGAATATTGAAGGGTTCAAGTTGGAGGATAGAGGTGGGGTAGAAGGGTTGGAGGGGACAACATGATAAGTGCATTTTGCGTTCAACATGCAGGATGGATTGGAGGAAGCAAAAGTAAGTGAAGGGAGATCAATTAGGAGATTACTATCATAATCCAGGTGAGAGTTTATTTCATTTTAGCTCAGAATTGATTATGATGGTGGAAATTAAGGGAAATGGACAGATCAGGAAGTACAATTGATAATACTTGATGTATTGGAAATGGACTCAAGGGAGAAGGAACTGACAAAAAAATGATTTCTAGGATTCTGGTTGGCAGAGCTGGATGGACAGTGGTACTATTTACTGAGTTAGGACTCATGGGAAGAGGTTAGATTTGGATGGTGCTTTGTGAGTTTAGAAGGAATGAGAGTGCTCCTAACATTTTTATTTATTTCAGGATAGCAGGGCTGAGGCTGGTGGACATTGTAATCAAAATGTATTGAATGGATTGGGTGAGAATGTAGAACAAGAATTGCATGAGTTTTTCTTGCTAATTTGGGCAAGTAATGGAATGGTACAGTAAAGGAGAAGAGAAGAAACATGGCGTATTCATTTGCAGATGTAAACTTCTTTTCCAACCTGCCAGCTGACATCAGTGTTCGTGCAGAGTATTGGACTGCATGGAAAGAAGGGGAAATGGAGTGAGGGATCCCCAGTCAGGCTGAGAAATATTGACTTTGTTTNGAATAACTGAGAAAGAGAGAGTGACAACCCGGAGGAAAGTCAGAGGCACAGACATATACATAGATGTAGAGAAATACGGCCAAGAGGGAGACAAGATACAAGCAGTAGGGACCACAGATGGTTACACAAGCAGACACACAAAGGAATCACATTTTATCTGAGGAGTATCGGGATGTGCCCTCTAAAGAATTTAAAAGTTATATTGAAATTTCGTAACAAAAATAACGTAAATCCAAATGTAATCAGAATCTTTGAGCCAGATGAAATTAAGCGGTGCTCGCTAAGCTGCTGGTAGAAGTTGAGTAGTCCCTCAGTGGGAATCTTGTTTGAATGACTCATAGCTCTAGGTCATTGTCCACATGACCTACGTTTAAGAAAAACCAGGTTGGTGACTGTCTTCAAGTTCCCTGTTTATTATGCTAGGAAAAGACAAGAAAGACTATCAGTAACTCACAAAGCATGATCCTCTTGTTTGTCAGTGAGAGATGCCTGTATTTATGAACGTATTTGATTTTTCATGTGGGGTACCCTTTCCTTTCAGTCTTACCTTACAAAGACCATCTTGGCCGCCAGCTGTGACACATATGTCCATTTGTCCTTGGCTGGATGGATAATGGATGGTGGGAGGATTATGCAATTTTACTTGTAACTGTTTTAGCCAGGACAACAGCTCTGGGATTCTAAAGCATAAAATGTATTTTCAAACAGTAGCAAAAATCATAGTAAGAGAGGAATTAAATGCTAGCCTTATACCAGGTACTCTATGCAGTCAATGTTAAAATGCTCAAACACTTTTTACCAGTATTGATATCCTGATGTAAACGACAAGGCAATAGACTTAGAGATTAAGAACTTCACATAAAGTCAATCAGCCAGTAATTAAATGATTTGAGACTTGGATCTACATCTTTTCAGTGCAAAGCCTACACTCTTTATTTTACAATAGAGCACTCACTGCATAACTAATTCTTTGTTCTCTTTAGGAATATTTCCATAGGCTACCGAGAAGTCCAGGCTCAAAAAGTACGTTGTGTCATGGAAACAAAAGCCTATGTATATGTTACATATAATTCATATATGCACAGCATGTATTAAATTTCAATATTCTTTTCAATCACAGAACAAAGAAGGCTTTCATAATGTATAATGTATAGACACTGTATAAATTATCCCTTACTACTGGAAGAAGATTAGCTAAGGAAAATCTTCAGGTGTGTGTTCTAGCCTTGCCTTTAAGAATTAGACATCTGAACTGAGGGCAACATATGTGCATGGCAGCCTGTTTAGAAAGGGAACATAATTCTTAGAAAATTGCCCTGGGACTTAAAATTAGTGCTTCCTGGATCATCTTTTTCCTCCCTTCTCCTAGCCTGCTTCTTCACCTACGTATCGTCTCATTTTTTTCAGCCTCAGCTCAAATGGTACTTCCTTTCAGAAGCCTTCTCTGTCTCTCCTGGGCATGTAAAAGCGAGAAACAGTCCCTGAGGAGCGTCAGACCCTTAGTATCCTTGTTCCTTTTAATTATTCTTTAAAAACTCTTCCCTAAACCGTCCTAACTGTTAAGTGCCCAGTTTAAAAAAAAGACACAAGTCACTTTATCAGTGGGCCTTAGACTATTGCTCATAAAATGAGCTAACAAAAGTATGTTATAGTTACCCAGCGCTTTGAGAATACTGAAGAGCTCTTTTCATAATCTCTTCGTCAAATTGGATGGTCTGTCCATGTTTTGTGGTGATAACAGCAGTCTTAAAAGGGAACGTGTTCGGATTTGGTGATCCAGTAGCCAAGGAGATGACCGATTTCGGTGCCCTGTTCAATATCTCAGCTACAATAAATATGGAACAGAAGAAACACGTTCACTGAAGACTTTCCTAAACAGTGATTGTTTAGTATGTAGCACTACAGTCAATCAAACTGTAAAGTTTAACAATATCTAGTGATACGGTGCTAATCTAAAATAAACATAAAATAACTTTTTCTGGACCCACCTCACTGGTGGCTGAGCTAAGGAATGAAGATGTCCAACTAAGAAGGCAGTGATCAGGGACATACACAAAGGGCCACAGTAACAGAAGACCCTGGTCCATTTAGCCCCTCCCTGCCTGTCAGGCTTCCTGGCTCCCTGCTTTCTCTCCCATTTGCCAGGCCCTGCCCAAGCCACACACATCTGCGCACCGTGCCTACCCCCTACTCATGTCCCAGGAAGCAACTTTTTTAGACAGCACTCCCTCTTTTTCCTAGGACCTGTCCCCCACAGCCTGTGCCTCTCTCTTACTGCTCCTACTACACTGGAGCAGAGAGAACCGACTTCCCGCCTTGTTTTTCAGCCAGAATTCATGTTTGCACGCAGAGCTGGGCTCACAGTGAGCGTTTCCGGTTGAATGAAGGATGGCCAGCAAGTGGTGACTGTAGGCAGCACCCTGAGAGGCTCTGCAGGACCACCTTCCCCCCCCTCCCTGGGGGGAGGGGCGCTGCCCCAGCACTCACTCCAGACTCGGATGGCAGAAGGCTTTCTCGCTGCGCTCGTCGCCGTGAGGAACCGTGCGTAATTCATGTCTCTGATACCCAAGCACCAAACACCTTCTTCCGTAGCTGAAGGCTAAAGAGCCGCGTCCACTATTGCCTCGGCACTCTGGAAACGCCACCTTAGTTGTCCCCGGGCAGCGCTTGGGTTCTGGAGCGCAGCGCTGGGAGAGAGCTGCCGAAATCCCCCTGCTGGAGGCGGCGCTGCGTGCCTGGGTCCCGAACAGACCTGGAGCGGGCGGCAAGACTAAAGGTCCACCAGCAGAGGGAGGGTCCTCCCTCCCCTTCCCCTGAGCCTGCGTCCCACGTGTTCAGGACGCCGCAGGGGCGGAGGCCGGGTTGGCTTCGCCGCGCCCCCTCCCCGCCCCGCACAGCAGCCTATAGTCGCGGGTCGCGGGTGAGTCCCCGCCCCTCATCGTCCTCGGAGCGCAAGGTTTGGGGTGAGGGCCGGAGATCAGGTAGCGACAGACCTGGGCGAGTGCTTGAATCAATTCAAAGCGAGTAGGACTCTTAACCATGCAGCGGGAAGTCACCGCAAGGAAGCGTCCTAGTAGGCCTAGGCACCGGTACTGAGATTGGCGAGGGCCTAGTTGGGGTGGGGCCTGGAATTACACTTTGATCATAATCCGAGACCACCATCTGGTGGCTGCTTTGGTCCATTGCAGCGGGCTCCCTAAAGTGCCTTCAGCCTGACGCTGCGCGGAGCTTTCCCTGTGCTGGTAGTTTGGCTCTGGTGACTCAGACAGTGCATTGTATCCCTCTGACCACTGTTGTGTAAAATATTCTCCCTTCATAATACAACCATAGATACCATTCTGGGACGGCAATAAGGCGACCCTGATGATTTCCAATGTCGCTTGCTCTAAGATCTGAGCCTTTTAGAGTGAGGGTGATGTTGAGAGAAATTTTGCAAGAATCACTCTGAGGGTCTCCTCAAATTTTAGTGCCTCCCTTCCCCTTGAATATTCTGACCAATCATTATGGACTTAAGTTGGAAGTGTGTATCCAAAGAGATTCATCTCTTTGGGCCTAGCATCATGCCCCCTGCTGTTTTTACAGCCTTCCACCTTCCACCTCACCCACTTCAGCACCCCTGTTTTCTCTGTAATTTCTCCTTTCTGAATCAACAACATGGAATGCGCAGGGGGTTCCCTGTGAGTATGTAATAAGAGATGATTTTTGAGACAATCTTTGTTATTCTTTAATCGGTATAAAAGAGTCATTTATTTTTAACAAATTCAAACCTGGATTCATTCATTTCGGAAACATTTATGGAATACTTCCTGGATGAGTGCTGACTCACTGCCAAAGGGCTCCCTTCCAGACATAAATAGATTGGTCCAGATAAGACCCAGATAACTGCTCTTATCTAGGTCCTGGCAAAAGAAGGATGAGATAACCCAGTGAAATCTTTAAGCTAGCATGGAAGGAACACGGGCTTATCATTAGTAAAGCTGCTAGAAAGCCCAAGAGGCGGTAGAGTTCTAGATTCAGAGACTTGAAATGGTTTAAATCTCACTTGATATACCAGCTGGGTGTCTTGGGACAAGGTACTTAATCTTTCTGTGCAGCAATTTTCTTACAGGGCTGTTGTTGGGAGGATTAAATGAGATAATCTATATTAAGCTCATGAGCACATTATGAAAACACTTGGTGAATATTAGCCATCATTTATTATGAATTATGAATGGTAACAATGCTTTCAGCAAAATGTAAGACCTCAGCCTCCAAATGTTATTAGCTAGAGAAACTAAGTGACAGCTTTTAAGGCAAATTGGGTTTTTAGTTATATCACGTATACAATTAAGGATGCTCTTGAGATTGTCTGTTTCAAAAAGGGTTGCCTTTCAATATTTCTAGAAATTATCTCAAGAAGCTCTAAACCCCCCTAAATAAGTTATAGACCCAGGTTAATTATGAGATGTAACTAGAAACATTGATATACTAGAGCAGCGGATCTCAAACTTCCTAATGCCGCGACCCTTTAATACAGTTCCTCATGTTGTAGTGACCCCAACCATAAAATTCTTTTTGTTGCTACTCTATAATTGTAATTTTGCTACTGTTATGAATCGTAATGTAAATACTTTTTGTTTTCCGATGGTCTTAGGCGACCCCTGTGAAAGGGTCATTCGACCCCCAAAGTGGTCACAACCCCCAGGTTGAGAACCGCTGTACTAGAGGCTTCAGGACTTCTTATTTAATTTAATTTAATTTTTTACTGTAGTCAGTATGGTTCTTTCAGATATTTAATATAAATTTGAACTTCTTTTCTTTGGTAGAAAGAACCTATCTGGTGAAAGGAGTTTGGAGTTCAGGGCCAAGAAAAACAGTAACAATTAGACTTTGCAACCACATTCATGCACAAGTCTGTTATTATTACAATATTTATTACAGACTTTTTTTTAGTGCAGAATTCGTTTTTCTTCCCTGTCCAATCAGTGGTAACAAAACTAAGGGAAACAAAACTAAAGAGGTGTAAAGTCATCAAGTAATAAGATGTAGCATCTCAACCTTAGTCTGTTGGATTTTCTATTTGTTGTGTCCTGGAGTTGGAGGTTGAGGGTGCTGGTTGATTATAAGGTGGGTGATGATTTAGACTAGGTAGAGAGGCAGAGAAGTGGCCCATCAGGGTAGGCTAATGGAATGCAGGAGGCTTGAGGGTTGTGTTTAGAAAATGGAAGGCAGAAAATGTCTAACGTGGTAGGAAAGGGACAGGCAAGGATTAAGTTGGAGAGAGCTTACCTGATGATCAGAGACTGAAAACTGAAGATAAAACTGATTTCCAGGGAAAGCAAATAGACCTGACTTGACTTTGTCAGGAGCACCAGCAGAAGGAGTTCTCCTGAGGGAGGAAGACGAATGAGCAAGCTTCACAGCTCAGTGCTGCCTTCTTAAAAACTTGCCGTGGACTGCTTGATGATAGAATTAAAGGGGCCAGATTTCCTGGACTTGATGATTCTCTAAACATTTACTGCATTTTTTGAATGCTTACTTTGTGCTAGGAACTGTAATAAATTTTAAAAGATAATTGAGACAAGCCACTGCTCTGGAAGAGCAAGTGTTTGTCTAGTAAGTGGTTAATAATTTCATTTAATTCAGTGTCTGTAGCAGAGGGACATACAGGCTACTAAGGAAAGCAGAGAGAAGGTAGTGGTTATTTCTCATGGACAGAGGTCTCAACTGGGTTAGAAACAAGCTTCTTTTCCTCTCATCTTCCTCTGATGGTCTTGCTCATGTTCATAATGGAAAATCAAGCAAAGTCACAAGCAGGCTAATTGTCATCCTTTACTACTTTCATTTGAAACTTAGACGTCACTCATGGGAAGACTTGTTCCTCACTTGAGAGTCTTGTCATAGAGCCTTTGCCATGAATTGTGAGGCAGTCCAGTTTCAGAACACCAAATGTGTTCAAAGAAGTTATGCTGACCATTGAGACAGAATGGAGATGGAAAATGTGTATGTTTATCGTGGGGCAGGGTGGGAAAGTATACTATTACTATTGTTGTGTGACAAGTTATCCCAAAACTTAGCAGCTGTATTAGTCTTCTAGGGCTGCCATGACAAATACCACACCTGAATAAGTTAAACAACAGGTATTTATTTACTCAAAGCCCTGGAGGCTGGTAGTCCAAGATGAAGATGTTGGCAGGGTTGGTTTCTCCTAAGGCCTTTGTCCTTGGCTTACAGATGGCTTCCTTTTCAGTAAGTCCTCACGTGGCCTTTTCTCTGTGTTTGTGTACCTCTGGTATCTCTTTCTTTTCTTATAATGACACTAGTCATACTGGATTAGGGCCCTATCCTGACAGCCTCATTTTACCTAAATTACCTCCTAATGCCCTGTCTCCAAATATAGTAACCTTGGGGTTAGGATTTCAAAATTTGAATTTTGGGGGATGCAATTAAGTCCATAACAGAACTTAAAACATCAAACATTAATCTCATAATTTTCATGGGTTGGGGATTCAGGAACTGTTTCCCACATGTTTCTCTCCATAGAGTTACTTGAATGTCCTCATGACACGGGCAACTGGTTTCCCTCAAATTGAGCGACCCAACAGAGAAAGGAAAAGTCCTTGATGCCTTGTGTGATGTAGTCTCGAAAACTACACTGCCACTTCTGCCATATTCTATTCATTAGAAGTGAACATTTAAATCTAATCCATTTTCAAGGGGAAGGGAATCAGGCTATATATTTTTTGAAGGAAGGAATATCATGTAATGTGGACATATTTTAAAACCACTACAAAAAGGAAGCAGAGTTAGGTGAAATTAGACAGAAATATGGATCAGGGTAGTAAAACAAGATTAAGGTAGGAATAAAATCATAGAGATTGTACCTATCATAGATACTAGAGTCAGACACTGAACACTCAAGAAAGGAAGAATTGAGTAGTCAGATAGCTAAGGTTAGTTATCAGAGACACAAAGCTAAAGCGGTTATGAAAAGAGAAAGAATCCCTCTGGGGAAGAACATTCTACAAGCAAGCGTTCCTTTTTAATTTCAGAAAAATGTATTTTTCATTTCTATAATTTCCATTTGTCCTTTATAAAGTTTCTATTTTTCTGTTGAGATTAACTAGCTTTTCCTTTATTGTAAGCATGTTTTCTTAGAATACTCTAGGCTAAGGAAAACACTAGTAGTTGGTTTAGCATATTTACAGTAGTTGCCAAAACAAATGCTTGCATGCTAATTCAAACATCTGGGTCATCTCAGAGTTAATTTCCTTTGTCTTTTTTCCTGAGACAAAGTCATATTTTCCTAGTTCTTTTTATGTTGAGTAATGTTGAATTGACCTCGCCATCGGTATTGTGAATGTTGTGCTGTGACTTCTGTTCTATTCCTTCAAAGAGTGTTGAGGATGTTTTGTTTTGTTTGTAGCAGGCATTTACCTTGGTTGGAATCAAAGTGCAATTTCTATCTCTTGGGTAGCTCTCTTATCTTTACTGGGCTGCTGTGAGTCTTCTTTGTGCATGCATGGCTCAAGGATATGCCAGGGACCCAAGTAGAATTTATACACAAAACTTGGGTGCCTCCTATCAGGCTCTCTCCTTTCTGAGATTTTCCTTTACTTGATAGTGCCCGTAGTTGCTCCAAACTCTACCCTTTCATTCTTTAGAGCAGAGGGACTGCAGGTTTTCTATTCGAGTTAGCTGTCACATGAAGTGTTGTTTTTAGCCTGTTCTTGTGCTGGAAGTTGTAAAAATGGAAATTTCTTCTTCCAAGTATAGATTCCCTCCAGAGTTTTTAAGCTTTTGTTCACTTTCAAGAAACTTCAGTTTTTCTTTTTCTTTTCTTTTTTTCCTTTTCTTTCCTTTCCTTTTCCTTTCTCCCTCCTTCTCTCCCTCCCTACTTCCCTCTCTCCGTCCCTCCCTTCCTCCTGTTTTGTATTTTGTACAGAACTTATATTTGTTATCTGCGAGAGGATTGGGTACAGTAGGGACATACTTGGTTATA